CCAAACTACGGAATGAAGCAAAGCTTAACAGGCTTAACAGCTCTCAGTAAGAGAAGAGGACCCAGATTCTAATCACTCACTCTTCTGACATTCCTCACCTTTCCACCTGTCAACTAAGCAGACCAGACTCTGTGACCTCTACTGCCACTCACTGTCAGTAGTCTCTGATATCTGACCTATCCTCAGAGACTGCTATCTCGTACCTCAAGTTTACTGTCTTAATTTTATTTCTCTGAGAGTTCAAACGGATCTGCAAATAAAGGGAAAAAGTCCTATCATGACAGGCAAATGTTAAGAGTTGAGCAGGTAGAATTTTGTCCATGTATTTAAATGGATGAGCACAACACAATGTGGCTGGGAAACGAACCTGAAGTTGACAAGAGAAAGATAATGTAAGCCTCTTTATTCCAATTACTTCATTTGCCACCAGGTCTCCTGCACCTACGACTACCATTCTATTGACCAAATATATACTCAGCATCTGCACTTGGTAAATGCACTTGTCAATGCCTCACCTGCCAGAATTCAAGAGGTTTAACCAATTGATCTTTTGAAACTTCATCCAGCAATAAGTTCTGTGATTCTGTTTATAACACTTGATGACTAGTGACCCTAGTGATTAGAGGAAGCCCCACAATCTCTACCATCCATTTCTGAGCCATGACAGTAGACAAGTGACCAAAAGGAAGGAGGGCGGGGTGAAGAAAGCAGACATCAAACTAGTGATCATGTCAGCCGCTGAGCACAGCATGTGGGCTCCCAACTGCCTTCCAAAGCCAAATATCTATAATATTCATTGGTCAGCCACAATTCTTTCCCACTTCCACTTGTTGTGAAAACTTGGAAACTGATTGCAAAGTCTGTCCAAATAAGCAGCTGGTAAACTGATTTCAAAAGAAAAAAAATGGATTCAGGATGGTCAGAGCATCTGTGGCAGGCGTTTTAAAAATTGCATGATTGTTGCACAAAAGACATTCACTAAGGAATTTTTCCCACAAAGACATTAACGTCAAGAACAAACAACATAAGACTCCCAAAGGCTAAAAGTCTTACATTACTAAATGGTGCTGGCTGAAAAATAACTGGCCACAAGTGGCCCAGGCTGTACCAGAGGGGACCGTCCCCACCCCCGGAGCGGCAGCCAAAGGCATCTCTGGAAGCAGGGCTCTCTGCTTGCTTTGCATGAGAACCCAGTATATAAACTGAATTATTATCATCATTATCAAAACAATTATTCTGGGCGCCTGGGTGGCTCAGTTGGTTAAGCGACTGCCTTCGGCTCAGGTCATGATCCTGGAGTCCCCGGATTGAGTCCCGCGTTGGGCTCCCTGCTCAGCGGGGAGTCTGCTTCTCCCTCTCCCACTCCCCCCTCTTATGCTCGCTCTCTCTCTCATCCTCTCTCTCAAATAAATAAAAAAAATCTTAAAAAAAAATTATTCTAATTCTAATAACCCTAATCTAAAATAGTAAAATAATAAACCCTAATATAAAAATAGGTGTATTTTTATACTCAAAATCTTTGTTCTATGCTGGATTTTAGATCTTATTATTTCAAGATCACCACTGTACCCTCTCTTGGCTCTGAAGGTCTTTCATCGAACTATGACCAAAACCACAGAAAAACTCAAATATCAGCAACTTAATTTCTTTTTTTTTTTTAAGATTTTATTTATTTATTTGACAGAGAGAGGCACAGCGAGAGAGGGAACCCAAGCAGAGGGAGTAGGAGAGGGAGAAGCAGGCTTCCCGGTGAGCAGGGAGCCTGATGTGGGGCTCCATCCCAGGACCCTGAGATCATGACCTGAGCAGAAGGCAGACGCTTAATGACTGAGCCACCCAGGCGCCCCGTCAGCAACTTATTTTCTAATCCTTCCCAATCAAAACTTTCAGATTTTCTTTCAAGGAAAAGTTTTAATGCACCTAATAAATTTTGGCTTGTTTCCTAAATTGATGTCTGGAGGTTCGAGCAATGAGCAAGTATTATTTTTGTCATTCAACAAAATAATAATAGTTTGCATCCCATTTTTAAAATAGATAAAATTGGGGACGCCTGGGTGGCTCAGTCGGTTAAGCGTCTGCCTTTGGCTCAGGTCATGATCCCAGGGTCCTGGGATCGAGTCCCGCATCGGGCTCCCTGCTCCGCGGGGAGCCTGCTTCTCCCTCTGCCTCTGCCTCTCTCTCTCTCATGAATAAATAAAGAAAATATTTTTAAAAAATAAAATAAAATATAATATAAATTGATGAACATAGGACAGAAATGGATTACAAGAACAGAGATGTCAAGCTTTTTGCCTGCACTGATGGGATTACAGTGATTTTTAATGTTCTTTTTCTTGTTTGTTGTTGTCTGTGCTCCCTGTAATGAGCACGCTTTGCTTTTGGAAGAAGAAAAAAGAGTAAGAGAACTTTCATTTAGGAAATAAAGGAATTTGGAATTGTTTCTGCAGCAGAGAAACCTGACATCCACTCTCCCTCAGGTGCACAGACTTTCTCTAAAGGTCCGTTTCCCTCTGGGGGCATCTCAGGTGAGCAGTGACATCCCTGCAGAAATATGGGGGGGTCCCATCCCTGCACGTAACGGTGACACAGAAAGCCTCAATACCAGTTTATACCTCTTGTACCGCCCTAAGGGTTCTGGCAAACTGAAGTGTTAAAATAAAACATGAATTCAGATTTCATTCAGTCTGAGATTTGCAATGAATCCTTGAGATATGTCCTTTCAAGATTTTAATGCCTTTTTTCTCTGCAAATTTTCATTGTTTATTTGTGCAAGAAAATAGTTTAAATGGGATTTTAAAATAGGGATGAAAAAATTAAGATTATGTCAAAGTCTCATCTGCCAGGGCTAACAATTCACTCATATACACACATATATGTAATTTTTTAAAGTAATCTCTATGCCCAATGTGGGGCTTGAACTCACAACCCTGAGATCAAGAGTTGCCTGTTCTACTGACTGAGCCAGCCAGGCACCCCCACTCATATTTTGGAATCTGTAAATATGTCAGGCTATATTAGCTCCTATAATCTAACACAGGTCTACTCTGAACCACGGCTTGTCTCCATAACTTCAATTTGGCTAGTGGTTGAGAACACACTTGTGAGAGGCACCCACCCTAGGGTTCTAAATCCAGCTTTACCTTAACTGCTACGTGACCTTGGGAAGGAGGCAGAATAGCCCTGATCTCAGCTTTGTACAGGAAAAATGAAGATTCTAAATATCCACCTCACAAAGGCTTAGGGCGGATTTCATCAAAGGGATTCCTAAGAGAGTGCCTGACAGTGTAGGCTCTCAAAAGTGGCCGATGTTATTATTCCCTGCTGGTAGCAGGGATGTCTTGTATTTGCGTAGTGACTCATACTCTTCAAGGCACTTTCAGATCTTTTACCTCATTTGATCTTCAGGCAGCTCTATCAGTACAAAAAGTAGTAATTACTGCCCCCACTTTTCTCGTCGTTGGTCTTTTTTTATAAACGGATGAGGAAACTGAGGCCCAAGGTTACAGAGCTCAGAAAGCAGATCCAGGCTCTTTTTGATCAGCAGCACAAGTCCACAACTAAACCTCCAAAGGCTTCAGGTGCCATGCCTGAATGTAATCAAATTAAGTTTCTCTTAAAATACTCCATCACTGGGGTGCCTGTGTGGCTCAGTGGGTTAAGCATCTGACTCTTGATTTCAGCTCAGGTCATGATCCTGGGGTGGTGAGATAGAGCCCCCACTGGCTCCCATTCAGTAGGGAGTTTACTTGAGATTCTCTCCCTCTCCCTACCCATCCCCCTCTGCCCCTCCCCCCTCTAAAATAAATAAATCTTTTTTAAATAAATAAATAAAATAAAATACTCTGCTATTTATACCTTAAATCAAACTGGTATTTCCACATCACTCCAAATTATTTAGGTTTTGCTTAGTAAAAATAGGAACTAAGGTTATTTAAAGCTTCCTGTATATCTCAGGCACTGGACTAAGTGCTTCACATCCAATGCCATACTTAAACCCCATAGCAAGCCGACGAGGTAGGCACTGACAGTGTCCACTTTACAAATGGGAAACTGAGGTATGACTAAGTCCAGGACTGAGATGCAGGCCGACTGTCTCCAACTCTCAGCTCTTAGGACTCTGGCATTCTCCAAACCTCGTTTGTCTAACTGAGCACACATTAAGGTTAGTAGCGTTCCCTTTTACATTTGAGGAAACCAAGGTTCCAAGATGTGACGGGATGTGTCTAAAGTTACCCGACCCTCTTCTGGCGCAGCAAGGACACAACCCAGCACCCCCTGCCTCCAAATCTCATTCCCTTCCGAAAGTCTCAAATTGCTCTGCATATATTTTAACGGTGAGATGATAGAAGTCCTTTCGTTCTTGAAAAGCAACAATCCACTTAAAGGCCTCCGTATCAACACTGAGAGTTGACAGCGTGACCCGCGCGCAGGGCGGTGGAAATGGAGCGGTCTCTCCGGAGCCGGGCTGTGGGCGTTACCGTCGCCAAGTCGGAAGTGGGAGGTGAAATTGTTTGCAGAGCGGCCCCTTGGGGAGGTGCCAGCACTACGTTCCCTATCCCACCCCCAACCTCCTTCCTCCAGGTCCCCGATGGGGTGGAACCCGAGATTCAGCTGAGCTTCAGGACGAGGGCGAGGGTGAGGGTCCCGGCACCGATCCAAACGCCAAGCCCTTGACGCCTTCCTCCGCCGCCGGGACCAGCCGAGTGCCGCGGGTCCGACGAGCGCAGTTTCGAAAAACTACCGCTTGCCGGGATCCCGGCTCAGTCCTAGAGGAGGGACCTGGCAGCCCAGACCCACGCCTCTCTTAACCCGGCACGTCACGCGCCGTGCCTCGGTTTCCCTCGCCTCGAAAAGGGAACACTTGAACCCAAGATGGAAAGAGAGGCACACCTCCAGACCTACACGATTTCCAGGAGGCAGAGCGCGCCCTCCCTGTCCGGATTCCTCCCACCAGCCACCCCGGCCCCGGCCCCGCCGGGCTGCGCTAACAGCGCCCCTACCTGCTCGGTGGCCCCCACCGCCACCGGCCGGGGCGCCTTGAGGTCCCCCGCCCAGCATGCGCCCCACCGGCTCCTCCAGCTCCTCGGCCGTGTGCAGGCTCCGTGCGCCCCAAGGTCCGCGGAGGGGGGAAGCGACAGTGAGCTGGACGGGAAGTGGGGAGGGGGGCGACGAGGAAGGGGGAGGCTCCTTCCTTCTCCGCGAGGCGGCCGGTTTCCTTTCCAGCCTCGGCCCCTTACACACTCAGAGGCGCGCGCGCGCGCGCGCGCACACACACACACACACACACACACACACGCCCGCGCGCGGTTGGGGACGGCAGCGCACAGCCTGTTTCGGGGAGAAAGTTTGCCATTCGCGCTCTCGCTCATTTCTGAGCGCACCCGCGAGGGGAAGTGCGGTGAGGGGAACGGGTGTACAGGGAAGGAGACTGACAGCCCTTTGGGGTGGGGTCTGCGAGAGCGCCTCCCAGACGCGTGATTAGGGAAGTGACCTGAGGGTTGATGGAAGAGATGGGGGGCGGGGGATGAGCGGGTGGGGAGAAAGTTGGAAGAGGGCAGGCCACACCAGGAAAGAGATACTCAGAGCAGTTGCTCAAAAATGAAATGGGAATCCAACTTTCTGAATCTTCTGGCAGCAGTGGACTGACCCCAGAGCCCCTCCCCCGCGTTGGGCAGCCAGCGCAGGAAGCAGGCTGTGGTCCATGCGGAGCTCTTAGGCCCCCTGACTTACCTCCTTCACCCCTTCTGTTTGGTTCACTCAAAGAGGCTACTGGAGCAGCCCCCCACACCCCCCACCCACTTTAGAACCTGCCAGAAATGGGTCTTGTCCTTTAAGGAGCTCACCGCCAGCTGGGAACATAAACATGTGCATATAAAACTAAATAACAATATACCTACCAAGAACCAGAGGCTTGGCATAAAAAAAAATGTTGCAGAATTTTGGGGGTAAGAGAGTATTTAAAGAAGTGTCAGGAAGCCTTTCTGGAGGAAAGGGAAGGATCTGGCTAGAAATAGAGGGCCTAGGTGCCTCAAAAGATAAGACCCTTATGGGTGCAAACACATAGATGTGCTTGCAAGTCGATGTGTTTGGGGACAGAATGAATATGAGCATGGATATTAAGGATGTGGGAAAACAGTAAAAGGAACATAAAGCTGGATGAGGCTGAATTTAATGATATAGACCACTAAATGGAGATCTAGATTCAGTGATTTAGTTTGAGAGATTAGAAAGGATCCTCACAGTTTGTTTGGTTAGTTGACTGAAACATGGACCAAGAGGTGACCTACACTAAATGCTAGAGGTGGCAAGGCCAGACTGGTGTTGGTACACCGTAAAGAAACTCTCCAAAGGCTTTAGGGAAATCGGAATATTGGAGGGAAATTATCATGTAAGACCTGCTCACCCACTCTGAAGGGTCCTGAGGACACACCTTTCACCATGACTCTGGTAAATAGTTTTGTGACCCAGCATCCTTGGTCACTCTTCTCTGTGGGTCAGAAATTACAGTGGGAACTGCAACCACTGAACGGGGACCTTTCAATGCAATGGGGATGACTGGATCCCAGGGTGGCAGGGGCCAATGGTGGCAATGAATCTCCAAAGGTAAGGGGGGTGTGGTTGATCATGGTGTTTCTAGAAGTCAAATAGATGGGAAGTCTACTAAATTCTTACTTGATCTGTATAAGCATAAAAGTTCTAGGTCAAGTGAACAAAAGTTTAACTTGCTTTCAAGTTAAAACAGAGACACTCAGGCCTTCAATCAGTTCCCAGACTTGAGTCAGTTTACAGATGCAGAACTCCTCGAATGAAGGAGAAAAGACCTGGAACACTGGTACTCTTTCTCCTAGCCTTCCCCAAAGGGACATAAGGCCTTTTACCAGAGTGAACCTGCACTGGGGAAAAGGAAGTCATCCGACGTTTCAGAAGGGACTGGACACTGGCTCTGAGCCAACACTAATTCCGGGGAGCCCAAACCATTACTGGGTTCCACCAATCACAGTAGGGGGTTTATGGAGGTCAGGTGACCAGAGTTTTAGACACCCCTCTCATAGCGGATGTCCGCACCCATTCTGTGGTCATTTCTCCAGTTCCAGAATGCATAATCAGAACAGACATACTCAGCAACGGGCAGAGTCCCCACATTGGTTCCCTGGCCTGTGCAGGGAAGGCTCTTATGCTAGGAAAGGCCAAGCGGAAGTCACGACAACTGTCTCTATCTAGGAAAAGAGTCAACCAAAGCAATACTACATTGCAAGAGGGGCTGCAGAAATTAGTGCCACCCTCAAGGACCGGAAGGAGGCAGGGTGGCAATTCCCACCACACCCCCATTCAACTTGCCTATATGGCCTGAGCAGAGCACAGATGGACCTCAGAAAATGACCATGGATTCTCATCAACTTAACCAGATGGCGATTCCAACTGCAGCTGCTCTACCAGATGTAGTTTCATTGTTTGAGCAAATTAACACATCTCCTAGCACCTGGTATATGCAGCTATTGATCTGGCAAACGTTTTTTCTCCATACCTGTTAGTAAAGACCACCAAAAGCAGCTTGCTTTCAGCTGGCAAGATCGGCAATACACCTTATTGTTCTCCCTCCGTGGTATACCAGCTCTCCAGCCCTACATCAGACTGTAGTCAAGCAGGGACCTTATTGCCTTTCCCTTCCACAAGACTTCATGCTGGTCCCGTGCGTTGATGACATGATGCTGACTGGACCTAGCGAGTGGGAAGTAACAACTCTGGACTTATTGGTGAGACATTTGCATGTCAGACAGTGAAAACTAAATCTGCCAAAAGTGTAGGGGCCTTCTATCTCAGTGGGTTTTCTAGAAGGCCACCAGTGTGGGGCATCCCTTCTAAGGGGAAGGGGAAGTTGTATTTGGCCCTTCCTACAACAACAGCAGCAACAACAAAAAGGCACAACACCTAATGGTCCTCTTTGGGTTTTGGAAGCAACATATTCCTCAGCTGAGTGCACTCCTCAAGCCCATTTGCCAAGCTGCAGCTTTGAATGGAGCTCAGAACACAAGAAGGCTCTACAGCAGGTCCAGCCTGCCATGCACGCTGCTCTGGCTCTGTTCAATGATGAATCCAGCAGATTCAATGATGCTTGAAGCGTCGGTGGTGACAGAGAAGCCGAGGAAGGTTTTGTCAGGCCCCTATAGGTGAGTAACATCACAGACCTTTAAGATTTGGGGGGAAAGCCCTGCCATCCCCCTGGATAACTACTCTCATTTTGAGAAACAGCTTCTGACTCACTCCTGGGCCTTTGTAGAGACTTAGCCTTTAACTGTGGGCCACCATGTTACCATGCAACCTGAGCTACCCATCATGAACTAGGTGTGGTCTGACCTACAATCCATAGATTTGGGCATGCACGATAGCACTCCATCATCAAATGGAAGTGGTGTATATGATATTGGGCTCAAGCCAACACTGAAGGCACAAGTAAGTTACATGAGGAAGTGGCCCAAATACCCAAGGTCCCCACTCCTGCCACATTACCTTCTCTCTCCCAGCCTGTATCTGTGGCCTTATGGGGAGTTCCCTGTAATCAGTTGACTGAGGAAGAGAAAATTCAGGCCTGGTTTACAGATGGTCCTGCACTATATTCAGACACTACCTAAAAGTAGACAGCTGTAACACTATAGCTCCTTTCTGGAACATCCCTGAAGACAGTGATAAAGGAAAATCATTCCAGTGGGCAGAACTTTGAGCAATGAACCTTGTTATTCAGTTCACTTGAAAGGAGAAATGGCCAGAGGTACAAATGTATGCCAATTCATGGACTGTGGCCAATGGTTTGGTTGGCCAGAGATTTGAAAGAAACATGACGGGAAAACTGGTGACAAGGAGATCCAAGGAAGAGGTATGTGGATAGACTTCTCTGAGTGGGCAAAAAGACTTGAAGATATTTGTGTTCCATGTGAATGTTCATCAAAAGGTGACCTCAGCAGAGGAGGATTTCAATCATCAAGTAGGTAGGATGACCCATTCCGTGGATGCCAGTCAGCCTCTTTCCCAGACACACTTAACATTGCCCAATGGGCTCATGAACAAAGTGCCCACGGTGGCAGGGGATGGAAGTTATGTGTGGACCCAGCAACATAGACTTCCAAGTTCAGTATGGTCAGTGCTGAATGTCCAACCTGCCAGAAACAAATGATAGGACACCATTCCCCACGGCGATCAGCCAGTTTGCCACTTGGTGGCAGGTTGATTACACTGGACCTCTTCCATCATGGAAGGGGCAGCATTTTGTTCTTACTGGAATAGAGACTTAACACTGAATACAGATTTCCCTTTCCTGCTTCTGCCAAAACTACTATCAGAATTCCTTATCCATACCACATTACTTCTGATCAAGGTACTCACTTCACAGCAAATGAAGTATAGCAATGGACCCAGGCTCACAAAATTCACCAGTCTTACCATTTTTCTTATCATCCTGAAGTAGCTGGCCTGATAGAACAATGGAATGGCCTTCTGAAGGCAGTTCAGGTGCCAGCTCAGTGGCAAGACCTTGCAGGGCTGGGACAACGTTCTGCAGGATGCTGTCTATGTATATGCTCTGAATCAGAGTCAATATATGGTACTGTTTCGCCCATAGCCAGGATTCATGGGTCCAGGAATCAAAATATAGATATGGGAGTGGCACCTCTCATCAGCCCTACTGATCCACTAGCAAAAATTTTGCTTCCTGTTCCCACAACAGTAAGCTCTGCTGACTGGAATTCCAAAGGGACGAATGCTTCCACCAGCAGACACAACAATTCCATTTAACTGGAAATTGAGATTGCCACCTGGCAACTTTGGGCTCCTCATGTCTCTGAAACAACAGGCCAAGAAGGGAGTTAGGGTGCTGGCTGGGGTGACTGATTCTGACTACCAAGGGGACACTGGACTGCTAGTCCGCAGTGGATGTAAGGCAGAGTATGTCTGCAAAATAGGAGATCCCTAAGGGCAGCTCTTAGCATTACCACGCCCTGTGATTGAGGTCAATGCAAAACTATCACCACCCAATTCAAGCAGGGCTACTAATGGCCCAGACTCTCTAAGAATGAAAGTTTGGGTTACCCTACCAGGCAAGGAACCATGACCAGCTGAGATGCT